GGTACCTAAGAAACCAGTTTCTCTGCTTGAACAGGTTTTTTAAAAGAAGGAGTATTTGTTCAAAATGTCTTGGACAAATGCCCTGGTTCCTGCAAAAGTGGCATGGGTTTAGCAAGACAGAGGTGGAAATCTTTCTGCCAGCACCCTGACAGAAAAGAGCTGTCTCCATTTGCCTGTTGGAATAAATATTTATTCATTTAACAGAGTACTTCGGAGTGGAGTGACTCTCCTTGTCTAGACATAATGAATAACCATAAAAATGAATTCAGAACTGTTTGAAAGCAGGGAACATCTGTGGCCGGCTGCAGCTCGGAGATTCAGGAAAAAAGCATTCTTTGTTGAGCTGGATGTAGCAAAACTAAGATCTTGATTGTTTCCTCACATGTTATCCACAAGCTATAAGTGGTTTGCCTATGGCAGTGTTTCTTTTGGGGGGTGGGATTTTTATGGGTTTTGGAGTGGCATTTTTTTGATGTTGTAACTCAGCATCTGTGTGCTTCTTTGTGATTGCATGTGCTCAGCAATGTTTCCACTCCACTAAAAGTCTATGCATTATTCACTCATTAATGTTTTATTTATTTATTACTCTTGAGGAGCTTTGCATTTACAGCCTACTGAGTGACAGCTAAGGCAACCCTGCAACTATTTCTTGCCTGCCAACAGTTGCCCCACAGATAAAGCACAGGCTGAACTCCCATGGATTTCCACTAGATTAATTCTGGTCTTATTTCCATCACTTTTCCACTGGCACAGCTCCAGCCTTTTGAAAAGCTCCTCATTATTCACATTAGTGTAAAAAAATTAAGAACACGTCTAAAAGAATGACAAATTCAGGCTCCAGGAGGCTCAGCCAGGAGACCTAATCCCAGCATCCAGGACCCTTCACAGAGAACACAGTGTCAGCAGCCTCCTCGTATTTAAATCAAAATGGCTTCCATTTGAATTAGACTCCTGGAAGAATCTTTTTTGTTTTCTGAAAGGATAACAGGTATTCCTCAGATAACCACACACCAAATCAGTTGCATCTGTAGCATTAAAATGAGCATGTGAAAAATGAGCAGTGGAAAGTTAATCAGCATCTTGTGTAGGTTGGGGAGTATCTGTATCCTGGCGCGGGCTCCTTGGGTTATGGCAGCCCTGCTTGCACAGAGGTCCAAAGCTGCCTCCAGCCTCCACTCCAGACTTGTTCCACCAAACATGTCAGAGATGAGCTAATCCCTGGGTAAGGACACTGCTCACCCATCTCACAAGGCGTGTGTGCCTGGTTGAGGGAAGGATTTCAGTCTGCTGCTGAGCAGTGAGAGCTGTAACTCTGGGAGCTTTGTTAATAAGGACTTTTCTGTGCCTTTCATTAGTTGTTTTCCCTTCTCCACCTGTAGGTCAGTTTGGCGATTGCATTTGGTCATTGTTAATGGTATCACCGAGGTAAGATCCTATGTCACAGTGAACAGGTTTTCCTTGGTTTCAACATTTGTGTAACAGTACCAATGCAAAATAGTTAATTACATAGTTAATGACTTCTTAAACAGATGTGGGCTCTCACCCGTCTGCTTTTTCTTTTGTTTTAAGATCAGTCAGTAGTTCTGATATGCTTTCGGCATGCAAAGTCCAGTTTTACCCTGGAAACTTGGCTCCATTTGACCTTGTATCCCTGTCTTGAAAAATTACCTATTATGTATGTCACAAAACACAGAATGGCAGCCCCATGAAAGACACAGAGTTAGAGTTCACATTAACAGTGCAATACCAATATTACTGCTAATCAAAAGCACATCAGCATCTTAGTGTTCCTTTGTTCTATGTAAGCATATTTACTAACAGCTATGACCATTCTTTTTTATTTCTTTTTTAGTTCTTTTTTATTTCTTTTTTATTTCTTTTTTATTTCTTTTTTATTTCTTTTTTACATATTTACATTTTAAACCCTCTGATTTTAGCTACAGACTGAAGAGAAAAAGTCAAACTCCTCCTGAGCACTGAAAATTGAGCTGATGGGCAATTACTCTCAAGCAGCCTGAGATTACATTTCATATAATTATACTGAATACTATCAAAACAGTTATTTCTGTAACTCCTAATTAGGAGGGATGGGGAAACATATTCATAGACAACAGTTTCCAGACCTGTTGGATGGGAAAGAAACTTGGGAAAAATGACTCTAACTGGTATGTAATCCTACATACCAGGTGGAATGCTTTTCAGATTGTCTAGTTCTAATGCCAGTGCTGTAATTTGTAAGCAGAATCTGGAGTTTGCAAGGGAGTCCATGGGATGTGTCTGCAGGGACAGCCAGCCAAAGATAAATAATGCAGAAAATACAAGAGTCCACTAGTGGCTTCACTTTAAGAACTCTTGCAAAGGTGGAGTACTCTTAGTTTTACCTGATTTCTCATTCCTATTCTCTGCAAAGTCCAGTCTAACTGCAAAGCAAAGGATGCTTTTATTTATAGTGGTGTTCACCCTGGAAGTCATGGGGCTAAGTGGTCTGCAGTCTGTGTGGGCACAGAGCAAAGTTAAATGCATTATAAACCAGATGTAAAATTCACATTTCAGTTCTATTGTAATTATTGGTAAAAAACAGTTGCCCTGCAATAACTAAACTCTGCATTATCACGAAACTTTTAAATTAAAGTGTTATTTGACTGGGGAAGAATAAAGATCAGACCTGTACCAGAGATTTGTTTTTACTGTATTTTCTGTATCTACTGTATTTACTCAGAATTCAGCCAAATAATTGGGACATACAAGCAACATTTTAAGGTTTTGCAGCAGGCATTTCACACTTCATTTTTGCAGCTAAGGATTCTTAAGTACCTAGCTTTTCAGCCCATAACAGCGTGTTTGAGAAATACTTTGACAATTTGTCATTCTGTGACTAGAAGTGGGATAGTCTGTCTGTTCTGAAGGATAGTGGAATTTACTCAAGGACTGATAAGGCTGGCACTAGTTTGTCTTCCTATTTTCACAGCTGGAAACATTGCCTGGATTGAATATTGTGGGCATTCCCAAATGTAGTTCAGTCAGGCATTTTTTTCTTCCCAGGCTATTTAGTGCTTACAACTTCAGTCTGCTATAGCTGTGTGCACTAAAATCACCACTGAAGTCCTAATCAGATCAGTTAGGTTCACTGTGAGAGTCACAAGCAACATGCTGTGAAATGCAACTGCCGAAAGAGTGCATGAACTTGTATACTGTGAAAGTTTACATATGGTGACACCAGAAAATATACAGAATGGTATGAATTTCTGTTCAGCTTAATATTTTTAGGAAAGTCTCTGAAGAACTTTCAGCCAATATTTCTTATCTCTGCTGCCAGGGTAAAGTGCTTTTAAAAAGTTCCAGAGATGAGTACATAGGTTGCGGCGCAGTTTGTGTTAGATACTGATCTCACGTAATATATTGTAAGGTTTTACAATTGTTATAGGTTAAATTCAAATCACAGCCTAGCTGGCATCCTAGTAAAAAGCAAGACATATGGAGGATTCATGTGATCTCTTTTAACATTTGTACTCAGGGATATACTCTGCTGTATACCACAAAATGCCTCCCCCACTTACCATTTGCCTCCTTGGTCTCTGCACTCATCTCAAAAAGTATCTAAATGGACACACACAAACAGGATATTCTGAAGTAAGTATCACCATTTTGATAGCAAAACTTTGTTAGCCAGGACTATACACACACACACACACACACATATATATCTACATATATGCTTCCAAAATTAATTTAGAGGATTTCTGTCCTGCAAGTGAGGTATCCTTCTTTGCAGGGTGATGTCTTCCAACAAAAGATTCCCTGCTACTGAAGGTTTTCTAGAGAGCATGTGATATTTCTGAGAGGTAGCTGTAAAGAATATCTGTGGAAAACTGCAGAAAAATAAGAACAGTGTTTCTTCCCTGAAGAGTGAGACTGGAAGGCAAATCTCCACTAGAGAATGAAGTGTACCCTTCAAATGCAGGTAGATGAGGATGTACATCTAAATAGAATTAAAATATGAAATAATACTTCTGTTGGTTGTACTTAATAAATACAGACTGTTATTTTTCATACTCTACCACAAAACAATCTAGTTGCTAAAGGACAGTCACAAAATCATGCATCCCCTTTGTAATTGGGTTTTGCAGACAGTACTCTGGCATGAGCTGAAAAATTTTTCCACTCACATGTAGCTTAAGTTTTCCCTTTTGGTGACACAGCTGAAGAGACTCATGTGGTTTGTTTAGTCCATCATCTGTTTAAAATAACCTATATTTGGAAATGTGTTTCTGATTTATCCATGGAAATGTTAGAATATAAATAACTCAGCATTTTTTGTTATTTGAAAGCTACCACATTTTATCTCTTGATACTTTTTGAATGTCCAAAAAACACAAATGCAATGAATTTAATATTGTTGCAGTTCTGCTTTAGTTTTGGTGGTTTCCGGGTTGGTTTTTTTTTGTGTGTATGTGCATGGTGGTTCGGGGGTTATTTTTGTTTGGCCTTATTGGTGGTGGTGGTTTTTTTCCTGTGAATACCAAGTTCTTATGGAACCACAATTTTACTATACAGATTTCCACTGGCCTTTCAGATTCATTGATCATTCTACTTTGCAGCAGTATGTCTTTCACATCAAGTTAGACTAGACCCTTTTGTTGGTAACGTACTCCTGCAATGCAGTTATATACTGAAAGGCCATGTGTCTATTTTGTGTAGTTACATACCATAAAAATACGAATCCCAGATGGTTAACTGAAGAACTTTGCCTCTTACAATCATAGTAACTTTTACTCTATCTCCTTTCAAATTCACTTAAATTCATTTAGCTTTATTAACTTGCTCCATGTTTACTATATGTTCAACTTCTACTACGGGCACTAAAGATGAGATACGTAGAAAACCAGCATAAAAGAACAATTAAGGTAAAGGAAAAGAACTGTTTTTTTCTATAGTGGGTAGTGTAGTATCTTGTGGATAAAGAACAACAATATTAGGGCTATCATCACACCTGGTATATATTCATTGCAGAGAACATATCTTTATTTTAATATAGCAGAGCAAAAAATCATCCCCATTTATTAATTTGATGTACACTAAATAACTTTGCATTTGTTACACAGATGATAAATATTTTGCAGATAAATTTATAAACACTTCCACATTTTATAGATTTATACAGTACACAGTCATCCTACGTAGAGCATGCCCTTCCACAAATATACAGACAGCTTTCCTCAGAAGACTTAATCAAAACACTTGGTCAAACATTTTGGAAGCTGGCAATCTGACACAGATGAGGATACTGGAAAGATGAGTTCACAATTGTACCAGCTGGACTTGAAATGAAAAATTCAGAACTCCAAAAGAGAGAATTTATCAAGGTACACACATGCAAACACATATGTACAGTAGTGATGACTATAACCTGCTTTCCAGGCACACATAGCAGTAAAGGAAATAAATAAAGTAAGAAACAGAGAGGTCAGGACCATTGCCAAGATCTTGATGGAGATTAGCAGATCTGAAGTCAAATTCCCATGTTCAAATGACAATTAAATTTTAAAGTAGCTTGTTACCCGTATATACAATATGTACATGTTACCTTGCATTGAGAAATGGAGATTGTCAGAAATGGTCATGATTATCTTGATGACATATGGCCACTGACATACCTGTGTGTTTGTACACTGGAGACTGTTTGAAAAATGGTACGGCCAGTTGGCTCAGAGCAGTTGGAAATTTGAGTGGTAGTTTAGAAGCAGAAACTGGGAACAGAAAACAACTGCAAAAACTAGGAAAGAATACATGTTTTCCTTCTGTTCCTTAGCATTAGAAAATTCGAACAGGTTTTTAATATCAGTAACCTGACAATGCGAATAAATTGCAGTGAAAGTAAAAAATGAATAAGTTTTTAAGAAAATTTGCCTTACAATACCAATAAGTTGCAGAGAAGACCAAGAGCTCTACTTTCTATACCGCATCCTTGATACCTGACTTCTGCACATATGTCATTACACTGCAATGGAAACTGCCCACTTAAAAAATAGATCTAATTTGATACAGTATCTTCCTACATATATTTGAGGCCAAACATGAGATACAATTTAATTGTCTCACTGTTGTGCAGCTGAAGATAACACAGCATTTTTTTTTAAGTATAACTTGAGTTTTTAATACAATATTTTGTAGAGAATGATTAAAAGAAGTTGCCAGTTGATTCACTTAGCTTGTAACATTGGTACTGAAATCCTTTTAATATTTGTGAAGCAGTACATTCATAGGAAAAACCAGGCTAAAATTATTCATCCTAAAAAAGTAGCAATTCCACCATGGCAGTATACACAGTCACATACTTCATATTTTTGAAAGACAAAGCTCCTGACCCTAAAAAATTGCTTCACTGATTTAAACAGGGATCAGATTACACATACAAAGCTTCTGACATGTAACTTTGTAGGATCCTAAACCTCTTGGAGGACAATAAATGCAGGCAGACACCAGCAGCTTGGGGCATTTTAAAAATTCTTATAAATGCGCTAGCTTTCCTACAGTGCTATCTTCATTTCTGCTCTCAATTTGTGTTTCAAATTTTAATTTAGCCTTTCATTTCATTTGTGAGGCATTAAAGAAGTAATATTAGGAATATTAGGAATATTAGGACAACTGGTAGCAAGAAGGAACAGGAAAGTGCTAAAAGGTTTGTCCAAAAGAGATGATGGGAGGTTGTGTTTTTAAGTAGCTCTTCAAATATTCCCTTTTCCTCCAAGCCATTGATTTTAATCTATGTTTACAGATTTCCATATATAAGGTAGTACTATCTATTGCTGCTGTAGATTTGAATGACAGTTTTCTACTTAAAACTGCCTGTTTGTGATCACAATTAGAAACTATATGCTATGGTTTCATTCATTGCATATGTTCACCACTTTGGAAAGGTCTCCACCTTTCCAAAGAAGTATCGTGTAAGCCTTGTTACTCTTTCTTAACCTCCTCCCAAAGGTTTCGTAAGCATTGGTATTTAGTTTATCAATTCAAGGAGACATGGGGATAAAAAAGAATAGCAAGCTGCTTGGGTTGGTTGGTTTGTTTGTTTTAATCTTATTATAGAGCTGGCTTTCCTACAGCAAACATACGTTCTTTCCTGTGAAAGGAATATGCCCTTTCTTCTGCTTTCTCACTTCTGTAGCATGAGTGCGTGTTCCCTACCAGAGAAAGGATACAGCAGAGAGTGAACTTCCTCAAAAGAGAAAAGAAATGTAGCAGATGCCAAAGCTTTTGGAAGAGCTCTTTCCACTGTGAGCTGTGGGTATGTTTCACCCTGGATTGGCTTCATTTATAGTATCTATGACTTTATATGGAACTAATTACTGTAGAAGATCTTCACGGGTGTTAATCATTAATTGAAAAACACCCTGGCAATGGCTCTGTTTCAGGCTGGTCAAAAATTGCAGATAAGAACATTAGCAGATAATTTTATAACCACATCACTAGAACAACAGCAGCCATATATGCAGAAACAATGAAAAACATACAATACAGAAAATCACAGATATTTTCTCATACATTACACAGAAATGTGTTGATATCCCCATGGACCATTTTGAAGGCCTTTTGGTTGAATAAGACAAAATTCATAGCTTTTAGGAGTTTATGTATCTGAGAGTGCTGTGTCTCCTAGTCACTGGAACACCAGTGCCTCTGCATGATGTGCTGTTTTGCTGTTTGGCACAGTGTGATGGGGCAGGAGGGTGGGTTGGGCAGACAGGGGAAGGCAACAGCTAAGCCAAAGCTCGTTTTTCAGATCATTTTAGGAATCCCCTTCCAATGACTGGAAGCTAATGGCCAGCTGAGATGACTCTTGGCATCCAAACAATTTTGCACATGAATAAGTAAAGGTTTCTGCACAAGGAATGGAGCAGGATGTCATTTGTGTTCAAAGCATAACGCACAATGAAGAAAGTAACACTGTCACGGAGAAAGAGATGAGAACATTGTTTGTAAGTTTAAGATTCATCTCTGTTGTAAAGGTGAGTGTGTCCATATGTGTGTATACTCACCCACATATGTCTGCATTATGTGTTCACTTCTAACTGTGTACTATTTATTTACAATTTACAATATTATATAGCTTCAGGCTAGGATCTGAAGAAAACATCTGAAAAAAAAAAATAATTGAAACCTATTTCTTGAACTATTACTCTTCATTGTTTACATTTAATTTGATTCTGTTTCATTATTTTTCCCAACCCTCTTCTTTTTTAACTGGGTAAAACAGACCCATGTAAGATTCACAAAATATTTTTATCACATAGCCAGTGGGGGATGGACATACATATGGTCATACAAGGCAGACATTAAGAGGACAGAAGACATGTCTTATACATAAGAATACATGCAGAATTGTACAGGAGAAGTGTTAGCCAACAACTCTAGCGCCTGACAACAAATGAAGCTAGAACAACACATATGACACTGGACTCTTGCAGAGAACTCTACTTGCAATGAGCTGTGAGTGCTATCCTTTAGCATTAAAGCAGCTTCAGCTTGCTTGGTGGTGACTGCTTGTGAAAACTGAATGGCAAGTGGGAGGTGCCCAAAATTAGAAAATAGAAAGCTAAGCAAAAACCAGACCCTTAGGATCCAAGAGAAATGAACTTTGGTGGCTAGCTGTGGAGAGAGTGCTGAAAGTGCCTGCCAGCTCTTTTTCTCTCTCACTTTCATTTGTGGGCTTGTATGTCTGGCTACAACTCAAATGTGTTGATGACCAGAGCAGGGGAAGGTCTCTACGTATCATCTTGGTTATAAGTCATTAAAATGGATATTCATGAGAACCTGGGTGGAAAGAACAATACTTTAATGTCAGGTCATCCTCACCCAAATGGTCCCGTTGTTAAGCAATCTCCAATCTTTGGTTATCAGACTTTGTACTGGTCCGAAGCGACCAATATGTTCTAGACCTTTGTCAAAGAGAATAGATTGTTTTCCCTAGAAAGCACTGTACTTTTCCCTAAGTGTTTTGGTCCTATTAAATGTAACTCGTGTGTATGTTATGGGAGGAGACTGCTGAAAATTACTGCTTTGTTTGAGTCCACAGTTTGTGTTCAAAGTCCCAAAACTCCATATTATAGGCCAGCATCTTTGTACATAATTCAACAAAATGTTTAATAAGAAAAGTAAATAACTCAGGCCCAATTTATCTTTTTCAGTTTTTCTATATAACAATCTTATAGAAGTAGAGTGGGACTAAATGTTGAAGGGTTCTTCCTTTACAGGAAGAAATAGGAAATTTTCCTCTACCAAAAAAAAACCAACCAACCAAACAAACAAAAAAAAAAAAACAAAAAAAAACCAAACAGCTAATGATAGTGAATCTAAATATATTTTGCAGCACTTGTTGAAGTTATTCAAAGAAAGCAAATTAAGCTGATAGCAGCACATGGATTGGTTGTAAACTATGTGAGGTTAAATGAAGGTGAGATCTGCAAGTAGCATTATAAGTTGATGCTTTCCATTTAATTCGTGTTTTGAACTGAGTTCCAGATTTTCTGGCTAATGTGTCTCCTCTAATTCTACATCATTGAACCATGTCTTACCTTGAAAGTCTCTGTTTTCACGCTGTGTTTTCTCAAATAGCAGCATTTGAAAGTACTAATGCAGGCAAACACCTAATATTTTACAGTCAGTTTCATGAACAAGAAGGCAGGAAATACAGAAAAGCAGCTTCTCAGAAGTGTTTTCTTCTGGAATATGATTACTGAATGTGTGTTTTCTTTCAAAACACCAGAGGAAGTGGAGCATTTCTAGTTTTACTTCTTGTGTCTTTGACCCCCTGAGTGCAAAGATTAATTTTTTAACTTTGTGATTGAAATTTCAATTGCATTTCCAGGTTATTAAACAGGAAACATGGCTTATAGGTTGTATTAACATGATATCATCTTGTTTAGGTAAGGAGGTGGGACTGGATGTAAACATCTTTTTCTGACTATTGAAGATTAATTTAAAACTCAGAATGGAGAAGAGAACTAAAGCCTAGTACACAGAGGCTGTCCATATGAGGGACTGAGGACTATATTACTTTGCTGAGAACTGGTATCTGCTCTTGTGCCTCAAGAGCAATTACGCAAAGATAAGGCTCCACAGTAGTAGAAAAAAGAAAAAAAGAATACAGAATATAATTTCCTTTGAATGGAGCTGAGCTAGGTGCACAGGCAAGAAGATTCCCTCAAATCAGGAGGACAATCAGGATTCCCTCAAATTCTGAGAGGACACCTTTCCTTGTATTAGGTCAGCCTTCTCAATAGGCAGGGAAATGTGGAGTCTGGCTGTTTAGGACTTCTAAGGCTGCTTTACATATTATTTTTTAAAAGTTATAACCAAAATGCAAATGATATGTAACAAAATTTCTTACTGAATGTTATTGGGAAGTCAGAAGCAGGTGAGAGAGTTTTAATTTTCTGTATGGCTGGTCCCCTAGCAAGAAAAGTAATTTGGGATGGAATGAATGGAATGGCAGGAAGAGAGAGCAAGCAGAGCTTGAGTAAGCAATCTTAACTTTGACCCATATTCCTAAGATGATAAAGGAGGAATAGACTACTAGAGCCATCAGAAAGGAGGGCTAATTCTTTTTCATCACTGCCTAGGTTTTGTAGTACACAAGTCTGTAAGGGAACTGGTTAAAATCAAGCTGAGAAGAAGAAGGTTTCCCAGTAGGTCATTCACTACCAATCCTGTTAAGTGCTCCACTGTGACCACCTATTGCTAGTTCCCTTTCTAGGAGCCTGTACTCAAGAACCAATGCAGTGGTTGCCAAATGTTGTAGCTCATGCTTCCAAGAAGCACTGTGCTAGCATGGACATAACCAAGCTGGCTAAAGTGTACTAACATGATGAAAAGATGCTTTCAAGAAATTAGAGTCTGCTAAGTCAAGTTCTACTATTAGACAACCTGTAACGAGTAAAGCTAATTCAAAGAAAATTTCCTTGCCAAAAATGAAAACATGTGGTTTCTTTTGTGGACAGTTTCCAAATTTCAAAATATTTGACTGTTATGGTTAACAGCATTCTAAATGCTGTGAGTCTTTTGTATTTTCAGGGGCCATTGTGCTTTTTTGTCATTGCTGCTGTTGGGATAAGCTTTTCAGCTGCACAGAAAATTCCTAGATGTTATATCCTACTTCACTTTTGATTGACAGGAATTTCTAGTTAGCAGTCAGTCAGGTCTGTGACCAAAACAAACAAATAAGCAGTTTTGATTACATAGGGTTTACAACTGTAATACATAAATGCTATCAAGTTTGCTTCTGTCTGGTGTGTTAGGAATCTAGCCATGCCACTAAGTAATTCTTTGCATGACATGTAAGCAAACAGACATAGAAAGAAAGTTGCAGATCCTTCTGTTCAATATTTATTATCTATGATTGCTTTGGAGGCTGCAAGAAAAGATGGAATTGCTGAAGACTAATCAAATTACTTTTACTTATAATGTGAATAACATTTGTGTCCAGATTGCCATAGATTAGTTTCTGTTCTAGTCTGTGGATTTCATGTATCTCACAAAGTTATTTATAGCGTGAAATTGCATTCACTTTTTTGTCATTATGAGATAAATCTTTACTGTGCTCAAGCAAAAACTATTGAATATTCAAACAGCTTTGATGTTGGCTTGCACACTAGCTCAAATCTATTGAGCCAGGTAGCTTACCATCTGGGAAAATTCTATCTTTAAGTTTTGTTTCATGTGTTGGAATTGTTCTTGTTTTTTGTTTCTTTTTTTTTTTTTTTATCTCTTTCTTTTACTTATTCTCCCAATTCCTACCCACTATTATTTTTTCTTTTTTTCTACATTAGAACTTTACAATTCTGGACCATGCAATTTTAAAAATCTCTGCTAATTCCTGTTGCTACATTTCATTTCATCCAGACTTAATCCCAGACCTATGATATAGTCAGGATTTATGATAAAACCAATACAGAAGTCAACATAATTTTCATGTCATGAGATTTTAGAGTGTTAAATTTGAATCATAGCCCTCATAGCTGAATCATAGCTGAATATTATTTTTCTGTGACCTATTTCCTTTAAGCTTGTCAGAAGGTATGAAGTATTGCATCTGAGTGTTATGGGAATTACATGCAGAGATGGACAGAATACTACTGCAAGAGGACATTGCACAGCAACACAAAGCAATATTTTACCATTGTTGTTGTTGTTTATTCTAAATATGTACAGAGGCTTCAGATTTCAAAAAACCTTGTGCAGTATGTGCAAGGAGTTAAACATGTGCTACTAATGAATTGCACAGAGAAAAAGGGCTCAAATATAATATTAATTATAGAAAACAGCCTTAAAATTATATTAAGGCTATGATTAGTGGAAAAAAGGCCACAGATACAAAACTAAGGCCAGAATTTTTTCTAGGCCTTAGTGAAAAATAGTTCTTCCTCATTTATTAGCATAGTTTAGAAATTTAAGAGACATGTCTAAGTCAGATTTAAACATAAAATATTTCATCTCAAATATCTTCATCATAACACTCCAAAATAAACACACTTGCTAATTTTTTTAAAAATAATGCCCCCCAGTTTTCCATCCTCGTGCTTTTTAAATTCTGCCAATTTTCTCATTTCATAGGAGAAAACAGCATCTTGGGCTAACATTTTTTGTGCTACAATGTGTAGCAGAGGCATTTGTTAGTAGCTGAAAATGTCACTTCTAGAATCAGTAGATTAAACAGTGAACTATAAATATGTTGAATGATCGTCTTACATAGACATTTACTGATTCTTTTAATATGACAAAGATGATAACTGATAAAGACTTCAGTGCCACATATTACTACTAAATCCAAGTTCACATCTAAGAGCAAGAGAAAAATCAATGAAAAAAGGTCTAGCTTACTATATGATGACCTTATTTGAAAGCTTAGTTGCTTTTCAATGCTTAACCTATCTAATAAATGCTGTCCGACATAATTTAAAAAATACTGAATAAAAATTACCATATAATTTATAGCAAACTTTTTACTTCACACTTTAAACTGCAGATAGTTAATCTGCAAATACAAGTTTTCTTAGCTTCAATGAAAGCAATGACAGTTTTTGTCATCAGAGGATCTGCCTCTTTTCTTTGATGATTTTATAAATGTATCTGTATTATTTAAAGAGATTTCATAAATTTTTGCATAGCATTAGAACTGATGGGGAATTTTCCAGTAATCGGAACAGTCCACAGCATAGAAGGAATATATTTACTACCATTTGCTTTCCATCTATGCACTGACTTGGTCTAATAAAAGCATCATTATTCCCTGCAGCCTTGCCATGGCTTATTTCTTAGTGGCTTTTCCAAAAGCTATTTGAAAATATTACGTGGTCAGACATTTCTGGAACTATTAAAAATTAGCTGAGAAAATGGTTATATTAAGAAGTGTAGAAACTATGAAAAGAATTAAGGTCTTTACATATATAAATTCCAAATAAACATCTGACAGTATCATCATTATCATATAGTTCAATGGCCTGATTCTTTCTTTATTGTTACTAACAGCAGCAAAACTATTTGCATTCATTCATTCCTGGAATAAGACAAATTCACTGTTTTGAATGGAAAAAAAAAAAAAATCCAGATGCCACAAGTGAGAATAAAACAAAAGTAGCATCAGCAGCAAAAAAGTGAAAATGTTAATTTTGTTATTCTCTCTGCCGCATACGTATATGGACTTTTATATTCCCTGCAGTAGTTGTTGCCTTCTCCTCAGTCAGTATGGGGTGTAGTTGGTAATCTTTGCTTAGATTGAATCTGCCTAAAAATGTTTCCCAAGGAAGAGTCATTGCCTACAAGTCATTGCATGCAAGTTTTTATCACCTAAGCACAGCTGCAGAAGGTCACTGTTCCCAGTACTGATGCAATCAGTTGAGTTTCCTGATAGATGTTGCATGCATTGATACATTAACATTCCCCACACCAATACTGCTAAGTAATTGACTTGTATGTCTGTACTGTTACTAAAGCTCATAATGCCATGGCCAAATTTAGCATGTGTTTTTGAAATAATCTGACTGCTTGCATTTTAAATAGCTAATTATCAGTATGGTTTTTACCTTCCTGGATTATGTCACCAAACCTATTTTAAGAGGTAGCTTTGCACTTCAAAGTGAAATGGGTTTGAACAACAAAGTATGCAAGCAAACAAAAGTTAAATTTAAATTTAAATTAATTTTACATTTAAAAATTTAAAACTTTCATACATGCTAAATCTCTGCTACTCCAAAGTATCTTTTGAGTTTGATTTCTGGCATTTGAGCACTCTACTGTGTGTTGAGAATCTGAAGCCTTTGCACCATCAGTCAGGAGAATGGCATTTGTACAAAGAAGTAAATAAATAGTGATTGTTTTTTCCAGTTACATCAACACCTGGGTTCTTGTATCAGGAAGCCGAAGTCCTACCAGACCTCCACATACTAGAACAGTAGAAGCAAGGAGAATAGGGATTGCTTTGGTGATACCAACAAGGGAACCAAATATTAGGTTTCCAAGTACAGCTGCAGCTTTGCATAGTGCATTCAGAAAGCCAAAGCCTGTTGCCCTAGAAGGGAAAACAGAAGAAAGTTAAAATACAAGTGAAAGAGACATATCCTCAGCATTAATAAATCAGTACAACCCAATAGCTTAAACAAAATTTATGTCAATAAGAATTCTGTGCTCATATTCTGTGCTCTTATTTAAAATGAGAAATGAAAGCTCTTCTGCTACAGTATTTTATTGAAGCAATTCATTCTTCTGCCTCAGAGATCAAAATGTAAAATGAATGACTGAACAGGTGTGTTTCCACCTCTAGAGTTGAACATGAAACTTGCAAATGGAAATTCAGTAGGACTTAAATGGCTAGATTAGGAGAGTAGACATGTCAAGTAGCTCCCAAAGGAGAACTGCTTCATCATCTGTGTGATGATTATTAATCAGAATTAAAGGATGATCATCATAGGGTACTGAATTAAAATTTAATTTCTTACAGATGGTACACACATTGAAACAGTTTTTTTTCAAAGGCTAATGAGACTTCCAATATTAATGAATGTTCATCTCTTAGAGGTAAGGAAGATAGGGTATCTAAAAATTTGTTGGGTGAAAGAGATATCTGATAAACTTTGGACAGAAGAAAAAGGAAATAAATTGCCAACAGAAAGTATGACACTGGTAATTCAGGTGGAGTCTTGCATTACGGTGATGTGATTTTAGTAGTCTGAAAACTCTTGCATAGATGTCTTATGCAAACTGCCACAATTTAAATTGTGTTTTGACATGACTGTATGATTCATTGATGCAGGAATAAGCTTGCCCTACCAGAAGTTTCCAAACAGATATCTGTATAATAATCTGTATAATCTCTAACATTTCTCAGCTCTCTTAGAAATTAAAGAGAGAAGGTCTATGAGTAACTCACACTGTGTTTGCTGGGATAAAATGTTAAAAATTCAAGAAGATAGTTGTTCTAATTTTCAGAACAAAGTATTTCTTGTTTGCACTGCAATTAAAAGCCCAAGTCTAAACAACAGGAATTAAGAGAAATGCTAGAGATCTAAGTGACTTAAAAGGGCTCTACTTAGTCTACTGAAGCACCTGTGAGAGAAAGGAAGAAGTCTCATGCTCAGATGTAGACTGAAATCCTAGGAAGTTTGAAAAGCTTCTACTGGAGCTGCTAAAGAGGAGCCAAGAGAATCAACTTGAAGTAAGAACACTTGACCCCAGCTGAGAGCAAGGATATAATGTCTCTGTGCTCTTCGCAGAACAGATTTTTGATTTTGAAAACTAGAAAAGATTATATCAAATCATGAGAGATCCTCTGTCTCAGGCCACTGATTGACCTGGCCCCAGCCCAGAGTGTCAGAGTTCACCTCCTCTGCTCTTTGGCAAATCTGTATCTCAATAGTGTAGATCAGTTAGGTCTTTTGGTGTCATGCTTCCAAGCTTTATCTAGGGAAGAGATAAAAGCATCAGTCTAGGAGAGGTGACCAGGATATGCGGCTTTCAGCACTGTCCATGCCCTGTCCAGGATACTGTGCTTCGGAATAATGCCAGTCCTGGTATATTTGAGGACCCTTCATCAAAAGAATGATGGCTATGCCTAGATCCTTCTTGTATGTTTCTAAAATACTGTGGTTTGCTCTAAGAAACATAGTCCTAATTAATCCACAAGTCAACTCCACAATCTCAACAAGATTCAGAATGTGTCATTTTGAAATAATGGTGCCTTTCCTGTTGAATTATTAAATTATTTAAAAGAATGTCTGCAGAATAGAATTAAGACATATAATATACTAATTAACACACCTTCAAATAGTTTTTTTTCCATTATGTTAAATATTTATTTTCCATTGTTGCAGAGCAAAGTCAGTTCCCTTATACATTACGTGTTCCCTTATACGTTACGTGTTCCCTTATATGTTATATGTTAGTTCCCTAATATGTTATAAAAGAAAATTCAGAAGAGTTGATAGTGTTCTAGTGTCAGCTTTGTGTATCATGTTTCTTTTCTGAATCTGGGACAAAACACAAATTACTTTTTTTTTTAACTGGATGATCATATTGTATTATGTATTATTAGTTTGGCAACATGTCTCTTGCACCCCCCAGCAGTATTTTAATCTCTTTGAAATGTCTGATATTTAGCAAAGAAATTACTGTTTTGTCTGAAGTAAGCACAATTCCTCTTTGTGTAAAGCATGGCATCCATCCAGATAGTGCATGATACTAAGTATTGGCAGTATATAAAGAAAAAGAGACAGGTCACTTCTACAGCAGAGTAGAAACTATCCAAAAAATCTATGGGAGAAAACAAGTAGATGAGACCTGTGTATGTCCCTTACACTTTCAAAGTCCTTATTTATTTGTTTTATATATATTTTTTCTTGAACCTGAACAAAATACTTAGTGTTTTGTTTCTTGAACAAAATACTTAGTGTTAAGGAAACCTAAACATGCACATCCTGGACATAACAATTTTAAAAATGACAGGTCCTCTGGCAGCCAGGACCCCTGAGGGCTGCTAGAGAGCAGCAGATGAGGAAACCTGGGGAAGTGTTGTGTTTGGAAATATCTGACAGAGAAACATTTGCAGCAGCTCCTTGAAAAGACTTTCCTCAGAGGAGAAACAAGCAAGTTAAAACCTGCCCATTCTAAGCACGTCCTTTGGAGGGACCGGTCTGAAGGAGGAGTATGAGATACACTGAAGGATGCAAAGAACAGCTGTCCTACTGGGGTGAATTTCCAAAGCCTAAGAGAAAACAAGCAAAGGTCTAGCATGGAAATATTTGTGCTCCAGGGACATAAAAAGCCCAAAATATCTGGAGGAATATCACCCAGGATGGGATGCAGCTACTGAGAGGGAAGGAGCCCCAGACTGATGGATCTTGTAGAGTTTACAAAATCACAGAGTGGGTAAGGCTGAAGGGGTCACAGTGAGTCACCTGGTCCAATCTCAAAGCTCAAATAGGGTCATTTTAGACCAGCATGTCTGTCTCAATCCTGTATTGGTAATTCTTCCTGAGGTGCAGCACCCTGCATTTGCCTTTGTTGCAGCTCTGCCCAGATCTCCAGCCTGTCAAGGTCCTTCTGAAGAGCTGCGCAAAGCACGCAGGCAGGAGATTCTTGAAGAGGAAAGGGACCTTGTTAAAATAGGCTGTATTGCAAGCAGGTGGAAAGAGGTTAAAGACAACACAGCTGGATTGGAAAACCGAGTTTATGTGATAGGATAATACGTATAGTTCTTCAGCTATTCTGAAGAACTCAAGGGAAGAAGGAAAGGGAAAGAGTCAGAATGGTTCTAATGTCAGCCTATCTATGCACAGAAAGTACTTTAAAAGTTATGGTGGTGACTGGTAATGATCAGAGTCTGCACATAAATATGATTTTCTTAGTTGTCAATGCTGATGTAAAATCAAACTTAACTCCGAATAACAGAAAAAAACCCACAGAGAAAGCAGACGCCTAGTCATCAACAGCCTCGGTATATTCAGAGACACCAGAGCCCCCCCAAAGAATACACAGATCCAGCTAAAACAAATTCAGATAGATACAGGCAGGAAATCTTTGGAAAAACAATAGCACGAAACATATGGGGATGTTTTACTTATGTTTAGTGTTGTTTTATATTATCTTATAAAAAAAAGGTAAGCTGTTTCACAGATGTTAGCTGCTTATATCAACTAGTTATGACAGTGGTCTGAATACAATTTTTTGAGCAATTTGAACCATTTCTTTTCATGTTCTAGTCTGTGATGCCACTGTTCTTTAGATCTATTATTGTTATATATCCAACATTACTATATCAGGTTCTAAAGCAATTTTGTAATACACACAATGCCTCTTCTGTCTGAACAAAATTAAAGTAATTTTTTTGCACTTAAAAACCCGTTCTGTTTGTAAATTGAGCTTATAGAATTTTGCTGATTATAAGGGGTTTTATTAGTCTAGTCCCATTAATGTTATCAAAATATAAACAAATAAAAGTAAGAAAAAGTAAGCTCATTTTATCGCCCTTAGCTGTCCTGATAATTAAAAATTAACAACCCATTAGAAGTGCAATCTTTTAATCTTTAAGCAGATTTCAGGCACGTCCTTTTGCCTAAGATAAGCACATAATTGGCATGAACAATAGGACTTTAACAGGCTTAAGTAAATTGTTGTTACGACCTGTACCTGAAAAGCATTGTCACTATTTAATCTTATACCTTCATACCCTTCAATTTTAATACTGTGTTTGAATGTGTTTGTACTTACAGTCAGAACAAGATGTCAAACCATTATGGAGCTCTAGGGGCAGCAAATTCAGACAGCTTCCTTTTTTTAAACATCCTTCTTAGAGTGGTGTTTGTGATTCAAACTCTTTAAAATCTGTATTAATTCATGCTTTTATAATTAATTCTCCTGAATCCAGGGAAATAAAAATATCCAGGAACCAAATATGCTGCAAATCACAAATGTGTATGACTATAGTCTCTTGCAGTGTTAGTACAGTCTCTGTTACAGTGTTGGAGGAAAGTGCAAGAGTGTCAGCAAATGATTAACATTATGTCATGTATTGTCTTAACATGATGAACAAATTAAGTGAAAAATTCCAAGGGAATAAGACCATTTATATATACACACCCATTTTCTTTGTGTTGATCTATTATTGGACAAACATTTGCACAAAAAGTCATGTTGACTTCATGAGTAATCCTCATTGATGGTCAAGGGAGACCAGTCATAAGTAGCAAGAATTGTTTATCTAGCTAGAGAGTTCACTTAAGTCTTTCGGTCTTTTCAGTAAGAAAATGCTGGTTAATCAATTTAGGATTGTCTTTTAAAAACCCCCCAGATACAGAGTTTTGTATTGATAGGAGAAAAATACAAATGTCTTTTATAAAAATGTCAGCATGAAGAGAAAGCTGAATGTTACTGAAAAGGAATTTTCCCCAATGTATTTTACTTCTTCTGCTGAGAAAGCTGTGACAAAGAAAAATGCTTAGCTTCCTTTAATCCAAGGTCCACATAAAAATGGCAAGAGTCCAAACAGTTAAAAATAGAGGGATTATCCAAGCCTTTAGATTAAAAGAGCTTGTTTCCTGATTGTCACATATGTTCCTTCTTAGACCAGGTTCTTGTATTCGTACATAAAATACTTCAGATCCACTTTTCCACTGCTGACAAAATATCTAAAAATATTATTGTCCTGTAGCAGGGTGCTACTAATGTGTAGCACAAAAATTTGTTATCTTTCTTGGCAGAGCAATTTACAAAAAACAGCAAGTTACAACAAAATTTCTTTAGAATTGATAATATGTAAAGCATTAAAACAGAGTATCCAAAAGTTCTTTGGACAATTTTCTATGTCCAGATATTTTTATATTCTCTTTAAAAATTAGTACTTAGTGTGCAAATAAAACTGCGGAATTTGCCTTCCTTCCTTGGACTACTGTGAAAGGCATAGGGGTGGCAGGTCATGCATTAAAACTTTAAGATTTCAGCAAAATGCAGTTGAACTATAGCCATAGGATGAGAGTAGAAAATAGCTGTCAGGAAATCTACTGTGAGTCAATTACTGCTATTATGACTCAAAAGAATAGAAAGTTTCTCTTCTGACATCCACACTAATACAAACTTGGAGATAAGATACTGTGAGAATAATATCTATTACTCTGGGCATAGATCCTAAGAGTTCAAGAAGAAGTGAAAAAAGTAAAAACCATGAACTGAAGATGGGAGACTTATTTCTTAATTGGGGCCAAATCCCTAAGAAATTTTTCAGAGGCATTAAAAAAAGGCAAAACAGGCTGACTTAATTTTATGGCTCACCTTGAATTCTAAGTATTCCTGGACAAGATGCAAACTCAGATCTATGGCAGCCACAGAAAAATGATGAATTGTTGGTTATCTGATGCAATCTGATTTATTCTCTATGTGGGAGATGATCTATTTCTATTTCACTTTCTATTTAGGTTTTAGTTATTGTATCATCTCCCTGATGAGAATCTTGGCTTATAATGCTAGTGCTTCCCAAGTTCACAAGAAGATACTTACCACTAATGTGAAAGTAAAAATTGCTTTTTAAAGAAACAAAATTGTCCTAAAGTTCATTCTTCAGGGAGCTTAAGCTTTCTTCCATCCGTATTTATACTACAGGCAGAGCTGAGAAACTGTGCAGTGTTATTGCAGACCCCTTGGGCACACACATTACAACCCAAGCTGCAATTACCTCATCACACAATATTTTTTTTCCACATCACTCTGCCAATGCAGTGAACAAAGAGGGCTTGAGGGTAAAAGATAGATGTAGTGAAGAAAACTTAGTTTCCCTCATCTGCTAGAGAAGTTGGAAGACGCACTCTGAATAAGATTGGGGACTGCAACATGAGAAAACAGTTTCATGGTTAAGGAAGTGGAGCGCTGTCAGAAGAAAGGATAAAATCCCTACTCCTGTCACAGAATTTGCATATGATGCAAGCAAGACACATAAAGCTAACAAAATGGTCTTTAAGCATGTATTTCATATTTTCTAGGTGCTCAGGTTAGCACCTTCAGGTTTATGTTGCTGGAGTGCTAGGTACCTATAGCTGCATTGAAGGTACACTTTCAGCCCATTCCTCCTTCTAAAATGCTCAGTGACTGGAATTTTTGGTGTCACACACTTCAGCCTACAGATTTCCTCTCCTGATGGATAGCAGAGTCCATTAAGAATATAAGGTAAAAGACAAAAGAATAGACAAGAGAAAATGTAAGTTCTTTACATTCTTGAGTTGTATTAATTTGCTTGCTTGTTGGAAATCACTAGCTAGTTTATATCTAGCTATCATAAGTGTCTTTTAAAATTTGTGTATTGAAAAGTTTAAAAAATTGTAGAATATTAAAATATTATTAATTATTTCATATGTATCATCTAGAAGACAGAAGCCCACTTATAACCAACATTAGTAACATTATTTTCCATTTTAGCACTATGTCATCATCTACCTGAGAACCATTTGAAATCTATACATCCCCTAATATCAGCAGTTGTACAAGCCAGCTGAGGCTTTATGAAGAATATGAAATGAAAGCTACTTAAATAGCACAAAATTTGGCAGTACTCATCAAGAAAGTAGGACAAATTATGTAGTTACTTCAGTTCTAGGGATCAGTAAACTAAAATACAAATATGTAGATGAGTGTGAATCTGTACAGAAGCCAAATCTGTCAAGATTTTGAAGCAACCATAACTGATGAAGAATAAACTGAAATGTGTGCTCTGTATCACATGGACTGCACATTGCCAAACTGTTCACCACACTCTACCTGGCTGAAAGCCAGTATGACTTCTAAATACCTAGAGTACAATTTATGAAACACCTTTTGTATTATACTGCACGACACCGGCAAAGCTCCTGCAGTTCAGCAACTGGCTGGTCTCCAAGAGGACGAAAAGGAGGGGCTACCCAAGAGTTCGTGCCTCTTGTGCATGGTAGCACAAACTGGTCTCCTTCCACCCACCTATCTTTGAACCCAACCTCCAGCTACCCTTTGCTGCACATTTGTGGTCATTTCACTGATGGGCTGTAAGAAAATAGTATTAAACACTGACAGAGAGAGCAAGGATTTTGTACTTAGATTCCCTTTACAGGAGAATCCGGAAGCCAATTTCAGGACCACATTCACTCTGGAGTTTGTTTTGCTTTTGCTTTGTAACAAAAGAGATCATTTTAAGTATGAAGGATTTCATATGCAAGAACGGATCAGGAAGCTTCATGTTCCACAAATGCCAAGAAAAGCTGCTAGAGTTACTGGCAGAAACTGGACATTCCCAGCAAACTGTGGCAAGCTGTTCCTGGTTATGGAGATCACAGGAATCTGAGAAGGAAACCCATGACTATGAGAAGTGAGCAGTGCTGGTTGTTAAACTGCAGCCAGTCTGGATAAAAAAAATTATCAAAAATTCTTGTAAGCAAGTTATTTGAGTTCCTGAAGGTATTAATTTTCAAAAAGTTCTACAAAACAGGAAGTAGCTTTGCCCCAGTCTAAAAATATCTCGAATTGTGTGTTTATTCATAACCAAGCTGACAAAAACTAGCAGTCATGGTTTCATCACTATCAGAACTTCTGGGGAAAAGTCTCTTCTACAGCATATGTCAACAATGTCTTTCCAGGCATAGGTACATTCACCCACCAACATTTTTGAACAGATAGTTCAAAGAGACAAGTTTTTTCTCTCTGGTTTGTTGTAAAAAACAACTCAGCTTCAATTAAGTTTCTGGTTCTGGACGGTTATTCTTGCATACAAAATATGTTAAAATAGGAAAAAAGATGAGTAAGAAATTGCTATAATCCCAAAGCTAGTAGAAACTATGAAAATAACCATTAGATACAACTACAGATGCCTTAACATCTCTATAGATATATACAGATAAATATCAGTTACATTCTTTTTATCAGTCCTAGTAATGATTTTTTTTTCCATTAACAGCAACGATTTTTCCAATTATTCTTCTTTACTTCATATTAGGAAAACATATGTGGCTGTTACATTCAGGAATACCCAAAAGATGGTCATTTCTACAGAATATTTATTAGAATTATATCATAGCATCTGTATGGTGGAAGAATTCTTGCCAGAAGAGCAATTTTCTGAGGTGTATTAAAAATACTAGCACTTAATATTAACACTTAGTGCTTGGGATTCATAAAATGGACTAGTATTGTTACTCAATATAATAAAATTGATGTCTCCTGTGGACATCAATTTCTTGTCTGAAGAAGCACATAATTTTAAAATGACAATGAAAGGAAAGCAGGGAAGCCAGTACACACTTTTCTAAATCTCTTAATGGACAATGTTAAAGACAGGGTAAATCCTTTACAAAAAATTACACTTGCCAATAAGGCATCATTCATTTATAAACTGGAAATATTTCAAATATGCAGTGAATGACATAATAATTAGCACTGCAACAAGAGAAAGGATACAATGTCCTTTTTTAGGAATCTGGGCAATTTTGATTAAATACTTTTAGGGATTTAAGAGGGGAGAAGTATTCAAGTCTAGTCAAGATAGCACAGTTTTTACATTTTTGCACTCCCCATACAACCAAATATGACTCAACAGCTCTTCCTTTAGTCCATTAAGTGGCATAAGTTCAGGATTAAAAAGTGCCCTGTATCTGAAAAAAACCCAACCCATGTCATCTAGCAGCAATGCAGGATTTGAAAAATTGTCCTGAGATTTCCTGCAAGAGCCCTGAAGAGTCAAGAGCAGTGCACAAGATAATTTTTACCCACTTAATGTATACTCCTAGTGGCCCTGCATACAAATTCATGGCAGACTGATTAGCAGCACAGGGTGGTTCAGACAGTGATTTTTATCATGATTCCCACCATTTCACAGTCAACAGACAAATGCAGATGTATTTCTGGTTTGGACCAACTACTGCCCTTATATCCAGTTAAATTACAGGAAATTCAGATACTCCATTACTGTTTTCAGAAATGTTAGCTGTGTTTTAAATAAGAGTAGCTGTTAGACCTTCTGCTTGCAAATGAAACTACATTTATGGTATTTCCCTGATTGGAAGATATTTGATGCAAAATACATACTAAATTGCTCAAAACTCCTCATTGCTTCAGTTTGGTTTTCGTAGGACAAATTATTAATTTGGCCCTCTCAAAACATCACTAACTTTGTAAGGCCCATACAAAATAATTTCTATTTATCATTTCTGCTGGTACATAGTTTCAGTGAGTTTAGGAGAGATATATCTGCACATACCTTCTGTCTGTAGGATTATAGCTCCACAGTAATTACATCCAGAGAGTTCCATGCTGAGATGGTGAGGCCATTGTAGAGGCACAGCATACCTATCATCATGGATTCGCTGGTCCCAAACCACAGGAAAAAACAGCTGATGCCAGAAAGAACCATGGAACCACCTAGGTACAAGGCAGGTGAAATAAACATGTAGTGGAGTTGTATTTAAAGAATAACCTTTGTTTTGTCTAATATTTCTATGCACAGTATAGCTAAATAAGTGACCCAAATATTTGAGTTAGAAACTGAAGAGATCTCCTCTACTGGTAACTCCAGACAGAAAGACAAATCTTGAAGAAAGGAGGTCACAAGAAAAATACAACTTCTCACGTATCAGAATATATCACAGTATTAAGTTGGAAGCTTCTTTGAATTCCCAAAGCAAGATTCCTGAGCAAAACTACCCCCATTATTCTTTGCCCATCATCGTTTGCAATTACATGAAAACTGTTCATATATTATAATAAAAATGCCGTATTTATTTTAATGTATATATATATATATATATATATATATACACATTAAAATCTCTATATATGTTTATATAGAGACATTGTCCTAGAAAATAAAGACAATGAACTACCACATAGTTATTTAAGTAAATTCAAAACAGATTTCTCGTTGTAGACAATCCACAGGAGATACCTTTCAACTGTGTTCCTATGCAAAATAGATAACAGACAATGAACAGCTGATACTTTGCAGGAGCTGCTCCACTAGCTAAGGGTCACCTGTCCACACCTTTCTTTCCTTTCAGCTGGAGCAGAAATAAACCAATGGTCATCAGTCTCCAAAATCTCACTCTAAATGCCTAGCTTATGGACTTGTAATATCTGTGGAAGAGCATGTAGAGGCAGCTACAGATCCCTTTTTTCTCTAGAGTTTCAAAACTGGGGGCTTTTAAAAACAGTATTTATGATGGCACAAAAATTACCTATCTGCAGGAAGAATGTTTTTCATTTCTCTAGCCAAATTCCTTGAAAAGAGGACATGTTGCTTTTGATGTCCCCTGTACCAGAGTGAAGCCCCTACCTAGCATCGTTAACCGTCCTATTCTATCCATCAGCAGAGCGGACACAATATTTCCTGGTAACACTGCCAAAGTTCCAAGGAAATTAACGAAGTAGATCCAGTAGGCACTGTAGTCATCATCAAAAGAAATCTGGCATCCTGTCCTGACGTGAAAAAATGTGCAATTTATCAATTCACTGTCAACAAATTTATACTGCTCGAGATCTGCGGAAAGAAGAAAAAGAATAATTTCAGCTAACAGCCAAATCCATGTGCAACTTTTGATTTAAAATATTTCAAGTTCAAGCAAATTTAATGACAGCTTGGAGGCTTTCACAGCTTTGCAAAAAGGGCACTATTACTGCTGGTAATTTTGATAGTTTTTATCTTACTAGAAACATTTGCAAAGCTCTTGAAAAGGACGAACTAAAGTCTGGAATTAGGAAATTATATTACTGTATTTTACCCTGCTTGGACTGTATTTGGTAAGGCCTTTCAGCACCAGCTGGTCTTGCATAAAATGCTCTAGGTACCTGCAAGTTTCTATGACTCAGTCTTTCTCAGTATCAGACCTTCATTTCCTGAGGAGACTCTCAATTATGGCCAGTTTTGTTTGCCTTCCTTGAAGTGAAATATTCCTGTGGAATTCAGTTTAAACTGATTTTCATTTCTGAGATGGCCTCATAGTCTTTAGCTCGTCCATAGATGAGTTACACTATGTAGTTAATTCTTCTGCCAATACCATTCCAGAGAACTGACCCTATGTTCCTTTTATTTTCCCATTCCTCTTCTAAGCCTTATAAACCTGAACCAAGAATACCTTCCTTCCACATTAAGGTCATTGCTTGTTCTGAAACCCAGGTCTGTTATTGTTGTGACTGCTGTAGTTACAGGAAAGTGGGAAGAAGTGCCTCATCTTTTCAACAAGCTTAGTTGGCCATACTCTACTTTCAGTGTTTATGTTTTATTAAACTGGAGAAAAATTATATCTTGCTGATATAATTTTTTTTAAATCTTGCTATATATTAGCTGTTGTAACAAGCTAATTGCTTCCTACAAATTATTATTCCTATTATTATTATTACACAGGAGGACTTCTTGTATGTCTTATTATAAATCCAGAAATTATAAATGTAAGATGAAAACATGAAGCTGACCAATGGGCATTTGAGTCTCTCTCTCTTATCTTTCTCATACCTGTGTTGTAGAAGGTGGTATTCACAAAAGTGCAGTTTCTGAAGTATGTATTCAATGAAGTAATGTCTTCAAAAACACAGTTCTTAAAAAGTGAATCTTCAAAGGTTACTGATTTAAATTTCATCATAATAAACCTGCCCAAGACAAAGAATTGCTGTCAATTTACCTTCATAATTTTGAAATAGCAACAGATGCAGCTATTCAGATCTAAAAAATCTCAACCCCAGTAACAATGGCTTCTTTGATGCATTTTGAAGATGTGATTAATGATTAACTCATAGCAACACATAGTTACTGGCCCAAACTGGTAATATAATTTGTTTGATAATATTTCTGTTGTTACTTGTCCTTAATCATCAATCAAAACCAGTGTCATGAAATTCATGAGACAGCCTTGTAAAATCACAATTGCTAGTAATTTGTCATTACACCTGGAAACAGGGAGATCACACTTCAGAAATTCAGTCCCTGGGAATAAACAAACACTTGCTAATACCAACAAGCTGTAAAGAAAGAATTTTTAAAAGAATCTTGATTTGTCAGAGGAACACAATGGTTACTGGGTTAGGCTCAAATGCAAAACATACTGGTGTTAAAAATTGTTTTCACAAAATGGTTATGACATGAATAAAAAGCTACATTGCCAGTTACCCAGCTAGACATCTAACTGTAAGTATGTTCTCATTAATTCTGTGCCTATGGATGAAATTGTAATTATAATTACTATTTAAATAAAACAAAAACAATTTGCTGGCAGCTTTTTTTATTTCTGAACATCCTCCTTCCTACTGACTCTCATTTAACACCTAGATTTTGTCAAAATATAAATAGAAAAAAAAGTTACTATATTAGATACAGTAACTTTCTACCCCAAAGTCACGTGACTAAAGCAATGCTTTCTTGAGTAAGACATTTTTAGTAAAATTCTACCAATGTGATTATGCTAACATCAGCAACCATAACAAATATGTGGAATGGCATCATTATTTTTGGGATATCTTTTATTTCATGTGAAGGTGTGGAAAATAAGGGCAGTTTTTTCTTCCAAACACAGACCCAACCTTATTCTAATCAAACCTAGTGTCATTAGCTAAGTATTATTCTTATAAGATGAACAATAGCAGGAGTAGGAGCACAAAAATTATGCTATCTACAAAGGAACAGGAATTAAATTTTCTCACAAATAAATTTGTTGGAACCACATCTTTATGAGAAAGGAGAGAAAAAGCTAGTAGTGTTTACCACAGTAAGTGGCTAACTAACTAATTAATTCTCTTTTTGTATTGGTCAGAAGAATAGTGTTTTCAGTCTATTAGTTTTAGTTACCGCATCATTTCTCATTTGTGACAGGCTGATTAAAATCAGGCTGGAGTTACTCATTATCATTTTTCATACAGCACTTTCCGTTCTAAAATATAGACTATTTCCAGAAGAGAACAAAGAAAATATAATGACTAGATTAGTCAGTTGAAACAAAAATGACAGACTATATGTTCTACATTCTTCTGCTGCACTTTTTAACTTTGTACAGGAAGTGTGTGACTACATTAAAATTGGTGTCAAAATGATTTGATTTAAAACCCAACAGGAAAGCAATGTATTAAAAAGTCAAGTATTGATGGATCTTCTCATTAAGAAAGATCATGAAGGAAACAGTGAGATTGAGGGTGAGTAGGGTATTGAAATATTTATGAAGCAAGGATATCAAATGAGTTCATTTTCCTGGAAAATATTTTGTGAATCCCAAATAACTGTCAGGAGCATATTAAATTTACACATTTGCAAGAGTAAATTATTGATTTAGCATAAATTAATGCTAGATTCAGTGTTTTACAATAATTTTCCATTTAAATTGATACAAGCTCATTACTGATTGTTCTTTGATTTTAGGAGAACATCTATATTCTGGAAAGGAGTGGGACTTGGAAGCTATGGCTGTTGAAAATTAAATAATGGCTGTTTTTTTCTTCAATATATAAAGCTTTATGTCAAAACTCAAGCACTAGTACTACTACTAAATCATCACAAAATAATCCGTTTATTCACTTACATACAGATTTTTGTATGGAAATAATAATTACTTATTATCATGACTTCCAGCAGACCATTCACATGGTTGTTCTGTACATTTCTTAATAGAAACCAGATACCTAAGCCAGCTGTGTTTTATTTTCACATGAGTTATCTAGTTATTTGTGAAGTCCAGATATAGCCTTAATATATTTGCCTTTGGCTAAAAAAAAATCACAAAAGACATTGTCAGAGTGGTGTTTCCCATTTCAGGGCTGTTCATACTTTTCATTGGTTTAGTAATGTTTAGCTTTCATTTTTCTGTGATAAGATTCTAACCTCCCAATATTCAGCCTGTTCACAGAAGTGTCTTTCATCAATTAAAAAAGGAGCAGCAACAGAGATGAAAGTGCATCTTTGCCCAGCCCCCTACAATATACTGCATATGTTGGATCTGAAAACCTTTGAATCCCGCTGTGAAAGGAAATAAAATTGACGTAGGCTTTTTGATCTGTTTTGCAGGAAGACAAGCAAGCTGGGTTTGCTCAGTGGATCCTCACACAGGAACCACAAGGGCATGTACATTTCTCCTCATGCTCATGAGTCATAAGAAATTAAGAACAGAAATAAATAATCATTAAAAGGTAACAAAACCATGGAAAAAACTGGTTTATTAGGATGAGCTTTAAAACATGCATCTGTTTATCCCAACTAAGCCAAGATATTAGGAAACCTCTAGACCTGTCATTGATGTATTCTCCATTGCTGTGAATCTGATTTTCCAGTGTGAAATTGAAGACAAAATGTGAGACCTCCTCATTGCGGAAATGTTTCACTCGGGATGCATACTCGTCTGACTGCAGATGTTTAATGACATCAGGAAACCAGACTGATAAGCCGTAGTAGCTGTGGAAAACCAGAAAAACTTCAGGAACCAATTTCACTCATTTGGAAATCTGTGTGAGGTGTGAATGAGCAGCTACCTTGGAGACTTATGTGATTGAGCTGTTGCTCTATCAGAATAAAATCCTCCAAAATATAGAATAATTGAAATATGCTGACACCAGAAGATGTCAGTTTTTCAAAGAAGGTATTCCTGACGAGTCAGGTTTGCAACCAAGAACAACTAACTGACAAACATAGCATTCTGTGGAAAGATCCTGAATAAAACAGATTACCATAGTGCCAGAAATTTACATGCAGATGATTTTTCTGTCTGTTAAGACTATAAAAAAATGGCCTTATCTCAACCATTCTTACCCAAAAGACAGGGTGAACCACACAGCTGTAAGTTTGATTGTATTATCCTTCACTGGGTAGTTGAAGCATCTCATAAATGTCAACCAAATCTGTAAATCATTATGAAACACATTTATTTACATATCTTCAATTATTTTGAACAATTTTCTTAAAGGCTAGAAGTTATTTGATTCTTATTTGCTTGCTATGAGAGAAAGCAAATCAGCTCGCTGGCCACACTTCTTTTGATGCATCCCAGGGTGTGATTTACTTTCTCAGCTCAAGAACATATCGTAGTCTCATATCAGTTTTTTTGTAATCAGTGTGGACTGTGTCCAACAATTCAGCCTTATTCTGATCACCTCAAACTTTCTTCGGAGAGGAGAGGAGAGGAGAGGAGAGGAGAGGAGAGGAGAGGAGAGGAGAGGAGAGAGAGGAGAGGAGAGAGGAGAGGAGAGGAGAGGAGAGGAGGAGAGGAGAGAGGAGAGGAGAGGAGAGGAGAGAGAGGAGAGGAGAGGAGAGGAGAGGAGAGGAGAGGAGAGGAGAGGAGAGGAGAGGAGAGGGAGGAGAGGAGAGGAGAGAGAGGAGAGAGGAGAGGAGAGGAGAGGGAGGAGAGGAGAGGAGAGGAGAGGAGAGGAGGGAGAGGAGAGGAGAGGAGAGGAGAGGAGAGGAGAGAGAGGAGAGGAGAGGAGAGGAGAGGAGAGGAGGGAGAGGAGAGGAGAGGAGAGGAGAGGGAGAGGAGAGGAGAGGAGAGGAGAGGAGAGGAGAGGAGAGGAGAGGAGGAGAGGAGAGGAGAGGAGGAGGAGAGGAGAGGAGAGGAGAGGAGAGGAGAGGAGAGGAGAGGAGAGGAGAGGAGAGGGAGAGGAGAGGAGAGGAGAGGAGAGAGAGGAGAGGAGAGGAGAGGAGAGGAGAGGAGAGAGAGGAGAGAGGAGAGGAGAGGAGAGGAGAGAGAGGAGAGGAGAGGAGAGAGAGGAGAGGAGAGGAGAGGAGAGGAGAGGAGAGAGAGGAGAGGAGAGGAGAGGAGAGGAGAGGAGGGAGAGGAGAGGAGAGAGAGGAGAGGAGAGGAGAGGAGAGGAGAGGAGAGGAGAGGAGAGGAGAGGGAGGAGAGGAGAGGAGAGGAGAGGAGAGGAGAGGAGAGGAGAGGAGTCACCACCATCCATACATATATATTGATCCACATTCTTAATACATAGTGATTTTGTGCTGTTTGTGAATATCATAATGTATTTATTAGCCATCACTTCTGTGAGGACCAATGCAGCATTTTCCTCCTCTGAAGCTGGGATAAAGCTCTATGATTCACCTGCACTTTTTCTGGGTCAGGAAACCAAAACCTTACACTGGTTCCTGATTCCCTCAGTTGCATGGAAAATGTACCATTGCAGCTATCAACAGCAGGAGCTCAGCAAATCCATCTCATTTCTGAAAGTTAATTAAAAAGGAAGAATCTAATTACAGAACAAACAGAGATGTTGTTACTTACACCATACATCTCTGTGCGGATTCTTACAAAACACCTCCTGTACCAAGTTCCAGTATCGCTCTCAATTTCTATGAGCTCATCTATCTGCTTAGGTGTTTTGATTCTGGTAACCTAGAAATAAAAACAGAACAGAAGAGAAATAAAAAAAAGTTCATAGTTTATGGATTCATGAACTGCCTATGAAGGATTATTGGTGGGGTTTATTACACTCCATCTACTAAAAATGAGTAGATATTGAACCTGGGTCTACACTAGACATGTTTTACGTTTATAAAGGAGTATTAACACACTGTAATGCCAAAGTCTTTATGGATGCAACAGTTTCAGAAAACTCTGTGGTCAAGGCATGCAGGAAATACATTTCCTTTGGCTACAATAAAAGCTGTTGCTGTCATGTTTTTCTAGAGAGTTGTTCTATATACCCTCGATGCCACAAAAGATAAAACATTAATTTCATCCACCAGTTAACCATGCCCAGAATTTGCCTTCAAATTGTTTCTGACTTGCTATCACAACATTGTTGGAAGTAATTTTATTAAATACACAGCAATGAAAACAGAAGTATTCAAAATGTCATGAATTAATAGTTGGACAACCTTTTTTTTTTTTTTTTCCCTAGTGTTAAACAGAAAATGTAATATAGAGAGAGGAAGTTAGGTGAAATTATCTGGAACCATGCATATTATTGCTGTTATGAACAATTATCTACTTATCTAAAGTGAAATGAGATAAACAGACATCAGGGAAAAATACTGAATGACCAGTGACAGAGAATGTAATGTATCCCACAATGCTAATTTTCACTTTTACTCTCTTGTGCAGCAGAACCAGGATGTAGCAGAACCAGGTTCAGATACACAAGAGAGTAAAAGTAAAAATTAAAGAAAGAAAAAGAAATAAAAGAAAAAAAAATTAAATAAAAAATGAAAATTCAATGGCAGAACCATGGTCTTTCCAGACACAGGACCTGACAAACATATACTGCTGTATGGGTTTTGTTTTAGCTGATCCCAGCTTTATAGTGATATCACAAAAGGTAATATATTCATCCACATGAATAAAGATTTTAAAAGAAGATAAGTAGAGAACAGAAAGAATATTACTAAAATAGGGAAAGGGACTGACACAGAAGGAAGAGGAGAGCAAGAGACTGCATGTTTTGTGTTTGGCTGCAGTTTCTGAAGTTAGACATAGCTTATGTTTCTTCTTAACAGAATGAGAATAGCCCCTGCCTCCACCTCCAATGCATCATAGTGGATTACAGGCCATCAGGGAATAGCAATATTAATGATAAAGGTCAAGTTTTGAGCCCACTGGTTTTACAGATGCATACAGATTTTACAGATGTATACTGTTTGACATGCAACAGCAGCATCATCCCATCAACAAGAACACAGAAAAGCCCACTAAGCAGTTTGAGGTATACTGCCCTCATTTCTGAAGCACTACAGTTCGCTGTTTTGCCAGATCATGACTTTATCAAAGGCCTGTAAACTTCTTGTCATGTCTCTTCTAATAATTGCATCCGCATCATTGCACTATCTCCAGCTTTTCTTAAACTGCTTTCAGGAAATATGTTATACAAAAGACTGAATCAGGTCCTCAAAAATTATCTGGTATCTCCTACATACAGAAATCCTTACATATCACTCCTCTAGGCAGAAAAGGAATGCCTTTTGAATCTCACTCTTGTGGGCTCAGGGACAGCATTTTCACTGTACTGGGGCACCTGACTTAGTTGGAGCTGTGGAGATTGAGGGAAACATATATCCACTATATGTGACTGGGGACAAAAGTTCCCTGGTCTTCGTGGTTCTTTAACATATGAAAAGTCCTACTGAGTCAGGAAAATAGTTAATCTGGAATATGCAAATTCACCATGTCAGTGTATGAAGAGTGAAAAAACACCCAAAACCAGAAAAGAAAACCTATTTTAATGAAAATGGTGCTTCTGTGTAAAAGCAATGGTTAGTAATATGCAAGGTTCATAATTTTTAAAAAAATAAGACTTGTTGCAAAGAGAAATATTTGCAGGAAAAGGAATTAATACATGGTAATTGAGGAGTAGGAAAATTTTGATTTTAAGGATGCAAAGTCTGTTTTTTTTTTGGTTTTGTTTTTTTTTTTTTACTTAAATATTTAAACCAAGAGGTCTAATGAATAGGTATTTTAAAAATCCAGGAAGTTAATAAAGCCTGTACATAAACATCTAACTTTGGTAGTTCCATGACTGAAGATACTACCAACTTATTGGTGTCTGTTAGTGTCACTGCTTTCAGGACAAATTCTTCAAAGTATGAAGAGTCACCCTCTAAATTAATTCTGGAACCAGAATATTCCATTTTGGATTAACTCTAAACCCAACCACTTGTCAATTGATACCATCTCTTTCTAAAGGCTTGAAGATATTTCCCTCAATAATATGAGTAACAAGAATAAGCATAACTTGTGAAAAAAAAAGCTGATAGAAAAAGATTAAATCAATATAATACAGGAAAATGCATGAACCAAAATGACACCAAAACTATAGGTGTAATGGAAAAAAGTTACATCATCTGTAGAGTCAGAAAACATACTCTCAAAGTGTGTCTGATGTAACTAACATTAAGTGGAGGAAATAGTAAAGCATGAGTTATAGAATGGCATTGGATAAGCAAATGAGGAGTATAGAAAGTTTAGGAGAAGTATGTGAATAAATTACTGAGGAAAAAATGTCACAATACTGAGGACTAACAGAAAAAACAGAAACTAAAAGGGTAAGTCAAACAAATTATGCATAAGTTCTTTGCTTTCTGGGTTTTATGAGATGAAGTGCTGATGTTGGACAAAAGTTTTCTAATCATTTTAATGCAAGCTAAAAATAGGGACTTCTATATATGTCTAACCTTGACACACAGCGCAGTATTTCTAGTCTCAACTTGATATATAGAGTAGAGTTTTCCTAATGCTCAAGGGAAAACTGGTAAAATTAATGGCTGACCAATTTACAAGAGTGACTGTAGATAAAGTGTCTGAGTGTCACATTTTAACAACCATACACACAAAGGCTTGTTAGATCACAAGAGCTGGAAACAACAAGCATGTGCTTTGTTTTGTTCTCAACAGCTGCTTTAGGACGTGATTACAGTTACGTCAAAGTGACGTGAGAGGTTTATCCTTCCACCCACATTTTCTCCTAGCACATTTCTGTCTTCTTCCTTGTGCTTAAACCAATACTAAAGAGGACAGGGTCAGCACTATGCTGACTGTGAAATCAGTTAATGAATATCAATAGTAGCAGAAAAGAAACCTCTGAGGTCACCAGGAGCAGGCATATTCCATCTGAAAGCTGCTCAGATCAGCAAGAGCCAATTGTGAAATTACACCATAGCTGTATGGTGTTAGGCAAATCCCTTTACTCATAAATTAAATCAGAAAATAAAATATTAGATTAGGTGGGATTAGGGGTAGGTCACCAGTGTACCAATAAATGTGGATTTAACATGGTAAATGTGCTAACCAGCTTTCTTTCAAGTTAAATATAGGAATTCTTGAGCTTCTTTGTGGAAAGGTTTAAATGGAAGCAATGGAAACTACATTCAAGGCAGCAAACTGCAAATCTCAGTGGAATATAAGTTATGTGGTCAGATGGTCATTCCTCAAGACTGCCTGCAAATACAGAACCTTTAAGAGGATTTCTTAATTGAGTTACATGTGCATTAAAATAAGAAGAAAGCTTCTGGAAGAGGAAAAACATCCCACACATGGCTCTGAGGGAGCAGAGTGCACATACTGCTACAGTTCTGTTATGGATAGAGAGGCAGACTGGATTTCAAAGCAAGAAAGTGCTGTTTGATCCTACTGTATCCAGGAAGACAAGATTTTTTTGTATAGTCTTCATAAATAAAAAATGCCATAAAATTCCATTTTTGAATTGGTAATTTCTCCTCCAATAGAAACAACCCATCAATACTTTAAATAGGGTTTTATAATTAAGCCTCAAAAAAATGAATTTGAGCCTCCCAGTTTGAGACTATTAAATGTTTGAAATGAAGATTTAATAGGAATGAAGATGTAGTTTTTAAAACCACTGTTTTACCTGATAAGAATGGGAAAAAATTCCAAATCTAAAGACACAGCAGCTAACTAATTTGGACTTTTATGTGCCTACTATTATTACTAAGGGTCAAACTTAGTAAATAAAACACAGTAGAATCTATTAACTATCTTGGTACACCAGATAAATTGTCATGCAGTGGCTTCATACACTCATTAATATCTTGGAAGGATGATTTCTTAGCAGACTTGTATATATAACAATTTCAGTAGGAATTCACAATAATTTTATTTAGGTATTTAGCAATACTCACAGTGAAGACTTTCTCGGGCTGACCACGCACGCATGTTTGTGTCATGAATTTGCTTGAGTATCATCCAAGCTTCATCATGTTTCCAACCTAAATGTTAGAACAATGTGAAAGTGCAACATACGTACAAATCGAGTTACTACCTATAGCTCCTGAATTATCTAAATGTCTGTTTGGTAGAAGTCATATATAAAAAGAAATAATTTTCACTGGAATCTAGAAACGTTTGGGATGTTATACCTCCAGCAGGAATCGTGGACTTTCCGGCATAAAGGTGAGGCAACCCAGAAGAGACCAAGGCAGTGCACGACAATCACAAATACTCGCCAGCTGTGGAACTGGTAGGCAGGCCATGCTGAAACTCCATCCTGTGGAAGCAGAAATTAACAAAATGTAGACAAATATTTGAGTATTATATGTGTATCCTTTATATGTTGCTTCTTGGGCATACAAATGATACCTGTATTTAAATGAAGCCTGACTGATATATTTTCACAAATATTGGTCATCTAAAAAGAGTTTTACACTATGACTTTTAGCCTCTTGTATGACTAATCGTACTGGAAAATGGTTGTATTATGGATGAAAGGCTTTCTTTGTGCGGGATGAAGAAGATTTTTTCAATTCTCTTAGCAAAATCTATATTAAGGTAGTTATGTGAACCAAAACGGACATTGTCAACACATAAGAATATATATAGAAAGTAATAGTTTACTATGAACAATGGAAGTGGAGATACTTAAAAATCTACACACAAATTATATTTTCTGCAATTGCATTGCTTTCCTTAACATTAACCTTTCTACAAAGTTGATTTTGATACTCTTAATAAGAATCAACCATGTCACTGCTAGTTCTGGTTTTTATGAAGTATATGGTTGGTTGGATTATGACTGGACTATTGAAATTTTGTAATTATAAGAAAACTAAGAATTTATTTAAGAAAGAGAACAGTATTATTTGGGAACTACTTGGCCTTTTATTCTGGCTTCAGCACAGCAGGAATTTTCAAGTAGATTTTCAAGGATAACTTATTAAAAGGTTAGAGGAATATAAGAATAATGGACAGAGGAGGTTACTGGAAGAAAATGAAATCTTGGGTAATGAAAGAACTGAAACACTGGATTAATTTATTATTGCAACCTGATTTTTCAGGTTGTTTACTGACATCGCTTTGGTTCCAAATGGCCTAATGAATATTTCTCAAAAGGAGGTATTTATGTGAGAAATGAAAAGTGTGTTTCAGGATGTAAAGATTCTATGCTGTGGATCATAAACACATTATTGGGAAAAAATTTCTTTCTCCTATTAATGTACTTACATACTACCACATGAAAAATACTATCAACCCATGATTTATTTTTATTCTTTGTCAATGGTTTGGTGAAACATCTTTGATAGATGTGGGAATGTGTGTATTTCTGGTCTTCTACAAACTTCCCTTGTTTCTGAAATTATATCAGTGTGCTCTGCAGCCATTTAGCACTGTCACCTTTACCTCAGGAGAAAGGGATAAAATCTGTAAGAGTACTGACTCTTGGAATCCCATGTCATTTTTTTCAAGTAAGACTCCATATAGGACATACTTTACTGCTCAAAATATCCTTCCAACTAAACAAGGATGCCTAAAAATTAATGTCAATTTTATTCCTAAATAAACCCTGAAATTAAAATTTACAAACATAAAAGTGTATTATAATTCACTCTTTATTGATTTTTAGGAAATGTTAACATTTGCTCTTATGGAATTTCAAGTCTTAAATAATGTGGGTTTATTTTACATTTAAATTGTGAAGGGAAGGAAGTAAAGAAAGGTTTACAGTGTGTTAATGAAGCAATTAGAGACCATACCTGTGCTTTGGATATTGTGTACATATTTTATTCTAATAATTAGAATAATATTCTAATTATTACATAATACAACAATATATTCTAATAATATAATAATATTTCTAATTTATATTTTACATAATTTAAAGTCTAGAACATAAGCACCTGGTGCAGAATTTGAAAATAACTTTTTGGTGAAGCTAATTTTTGCTCTGATCAGTGAGTTGATTTGAATCCCTGGCATCTGTGCAATTGTAAGTGCTGCAGGGAAGACAGCACAGGATGGAAGTTTTCATCTTTCAGAATGTTCAGTATCAGCCAATACTGGCTTTTGTTGTTACTAGAAACTGTTCCAGAAATACACAAAGCCACTGGTATAGTTAGGCAATCTGCCTTTCACAGCTCCAGTTTATGTTTTATGAGATAGACCTATGCAAAGGGCAGTTCTGCAGTAAGTGAAATCAACCTGGCTTTACCAGTTATAAAGCAACAGCAACATCTTGTGCTCTGTAGCCAGTCCTGGAAAATGCTCTTGGTAATTTATTTTTAGTTGTTATTTATTAATATAAGTGAACCATACTACACTTAATTAAAATCAATAAATGCGCTGTTCATTCTGCTATCATTGTGAAACCTACAAAAACATCTTTTTTACTCCTCAAATACCCAAGGGACATGTCAAGTGAAATGTTCATTATAGTTTTTATTGCTTTTGTTCCATCTTTTTCACTATGTACTGTATTAGCTACTGCAATTTATCTTGTGATTTAATGTATCTGCTGAATGAATGATGGATAGGAACATTATTATAAAAAAACAATTTGTAGAAAAAAAGCTGGAGCTGCACAGAGCTTTCTGAGTTTTTCCTCCCATCTATTCCAACACCAGCACTACATCAGCAAAAACAAACATGTATTTCAAATGCACAGCAAGTTTGGATTTATTTTTATATTTAACACATCCTTTTCCCCAGGTCATGAGCTAATCTGGATAATGGAGCCATTAGAGCAGCTCTGAATTTAGCTCACAAAGTGGCTTTCATTCCCTTTGTATGCAAGTCTTGGAAGTAAATAAAATTGTGTTCTTGGCTGTAAGTCAATCTCCTTCTCCCCTAATTCATGGCAAAAAAGCAAAGCACAGCAGCACTACATGGCTGCATTTAGTTCACAGCACAAAACTGGAGCCGACCTTCACCCTTGCTCCCTGGCTATGCTGTACTCAAGAGTCATTAATCTTGAGAACAGGAGCAAGTCACAATGTTTTATGGATTGCAAACATTTGTCCCAAATGCGTCCTGGAGTAATGTACTGTAGAGCAACCCAAAACCTGTGATGGCTGAATCTGAAGCTACTGCAGGCACCTTCGTGCTAAATAGTACCCTCCTGCTCTCCTGGCTGCTGGAAACGGCCAGGTGAATCACAGACATGGCAATTACTGATTACAGAAACACAAGAGCAACAGCGGAGCAAAATCAAAATGTACAAGATGCTAATCTGTATCCAATCACCGATTTATGAGCTGGCATGTTTTCAACAAAATCTTGTCTCACAGAACAGCATACTATCAGCCCCATAATATTAATATATCAAAAAGATATTATAAAATTTTTGCTCCAAAGGAGAGAAAAGATAATTTGTCATAGACTTTCTAAATATATACAGAGGGAAATCTGTCCACATTACGATGAATTTTATGGATTTATAACACTTGATAAACAGTAAGTACATTCAAGCGCAAGGATCCTCTCCTGCAGTACACATATTACTAGAGAGCTTGTTTATGGGATGATTTGCTAAACTTTCCACAGCAGGGGTTGCAAGGAACATCACAGATCTCTATAAACTCATACCTGTTACACTAAACTGCAATGTGGGCAATGAAAAACATAGGTGCCCATAGGCTCTGTAAATACTGGAAGCAAATAGACAGTTTATATACCCAGAGGAATAAAATGGTGAACACCTTTCTAAGACACTAAGGTTGGCAAAAAAATCCAATCAAATATTGTGATTTATGCATGGTTAGCTAAAGACTGAGCATTTGGACAATTTTTGTCAGTACAAACGAGATAAATTAGTTTCATGACAGTGTCATAAATTGCCAAAACCTTTTTTCATAGATTTCTGTGTTTAGTAGATCAAAGGAGGGAGTAGATATAGAAACATACTTAAAAATTACAGACGGGGGAAAAAGAGAACTAATGAACTTACATTAATTTACAGATTTTACATTTCTTCCAAAAATTAATTTACATGACTTCATAAATTTTTTTGATTTCTGTTTTACCACATAACCTGTGGTCAGAAGTCAGCTTTCTAGCCCTCAATCTCAATGTTTTTCTTTGAAATATTTATGGTAACTAAGAAGCACGATTGCTCTAAATTGTCACTTGGTGGCACTGTTACCATACTATATAAATAAAGCTTACATCTATTACCGGAAGACTTTTACTATCAAATTCGGCTGTTTTGTTGAGTATTTCCCAAATCTAAGCTAAAGCAAATTATGAGGACTGGAAATATTTTGAAGCTTGCATCATTTAAGCACCTTATTATTGCACTTAATTTTTTTCTGCCCTGGCATTACCAATTTTAACTGTCAATGTCATCTAGGATTTGAGACCATACATTTTAGTGCTACTCATTAGAAACAAGGTGAAACATCACCAAAAAAAAAAAAAAGAAAAGTTTAGGTAAGTTATGTAGCTGAAGAAGATCTGCTACACATATTTACAAAACTGGATGAAAACTATGGTTTTATACAATTGCAGAAAAGATGTCTTCAGAATTCTTCTGTGTTATATTACTGTGAAATTCCAGTAGCGCAAAGCAGAACACCTGTCTTTTCTGTGATTAAATTATTAATATCACCTAGGAAAAGCAATGTTTTTTTAGCCTGTATGGAGAGTTAGATACTCTACAAACCTAGTCTCAGCAGGTGAGTTGCTGGTAATTTCTGATGAAGGAATTTAGAAATGAAATAGCTGAAGTGTGCAGGCCATGATGGAGAGAATTAACAAAGGTGCATGGGACTCTAGCTAAATGCAACTAGCCCTTGAGGATCACCTGTTCAATGGAAGAAGAATGTAAAAGTGTTCAACAGATGTATTTTGCAAACACATTAGACAAAGAATTGCTCTGCTAACACTTAAAATGTGATGAGAAGGAACAAGGCATTTTCTAAAGACACATTTCCTCCCTCACAGAGGAAGGAGTTTGTAAGCACAGACACAAGTCACTCTCTGTGTGTATTGATATTTATCTGAAGACCCTTGAAAATCAGGTCTCCAGCCACCCATGGCAGTATTTTGTATTCTGACAATCGCTGGGACAGCTGCAAGAAGAATTGATCTTGCATAGAAATAATTTGCTCTCAATATTATCAAATCCATTCCTATGTAGCACTGTAATCCAGATGTAGTACCTCTGATCAGTAACATTAACAGTCCACTTTTTAAAGTTCGCTAATACCTGTTGTAGCACTGCCCTGAGAAGTTTTACTTTTCATTAAGGAGGATGTTTGTGTATCCTCATACTTC